AGACAGTGAGAGAGAGAGAGACAGACAGAGGGAAAGGTCTTCCTTCCGTTGGTTCACCCCCCAATGGCTGCTGCGGCTGGCACGCTGCGCTGATCCGAAGCCAGGAGCCAGGTGCTTCCTCCTGGTCTCCCATGCAGGTGCAGGGCCCAAGCACCTGGGCCATCCTCCACTACCTTCCCGAGCCACAGCAGAAGAGCTGGACTGGAAGAGGAGCAACTGGGGGCCAGCACCACGGCTCACTAGGCTAATCCTCTGCCTTGCGGCGCCGGCACACCGGGTTCTAGTCCCGGTCCCGGTTGGGGCGCCGGATTCTGTCCCGGTTGCCGTGGCCATTGGAGAGTGAACCAACGGCAAAGGAAGACCTTTCTCTCTGTCTCTCTCTCACTGTCCACTCTGCCTGTCAAAAAAAAAAAAAAAGAGGAGCAACTGAGACAGAATCCAGCACCCCAACCGGGACTAGAACCCGGGGTGCCAGCGCTGCAGGCGGAGGATTAGCCTAGTGAGCCGCAGTGCTGGCCTAGAGGGTCTTGATCACAGGTACATTTCATAAGGCTCATGCTGGCAGCACTTGCAGCAAAGAAATTGGTAGAAATAAGAGAGTGGAGATGGGCCAGAAAATTGACATTTGGAGAAGAAATGACGAAGGCCAAACAGTGCTGATGCAAAGGAAGAAGAAAGGATGGTTTTTAGCAGCATTAAGGTGATAAACTCAACGTGATTTGAAGGTGAGAAGGAAGAAGGTGAGAATTATGTCTAGTTTTCTGTCTTTGCAACGGGGACAGATGTATGGGGACAGACACTCAGAAGAAAAAAACATGGGGGAACTGGAAGACTCATATGTCTTAGTTCCAGAATTTATTACAAAACTACAGTAATCAAAACAGTGTGGTACTGGCAGGCAGACAGACACATAGGTCCATGGAATAGAATGCCAGAGACCAGAAATAAACTACCATACACAAGGGGCCTTCAAAAAGTTTGTGGAAAATGTGTATTATGAAAAAAACTATGTATGGATTTCAAAACTTCTGGGACCAAAATAAATTTTCATTTAATTCCATTAACCCAGAAACTTTTGGAAGGATCACTGTATTCTGCTCAGCTCTGGGAAAAAGAGGTAACAGGAAAGTTGCCTAAAAACTAGAATTCTCATCCTAACCTCCCACTCTATTCCCCCTGTTGTGGTCTGCAGGTCTGGGTCCCCTGCTCCTACTCCAGAACTTGAAGCTCTCACCTCCAGCAGCACGGTGTTTGGAGGCAATGCCCGTGGGAGGTAACTGGGCTGAGCTGAGGACATGAGGGTCAGGCCCTCATGATGGGATTGGTGTCCCTGTAGGAAGAGGACGAAAGGGGTTGGCACTGTGTCGTACTGGGAAAAGCCACCTCCTGCAGTGCCAGGGCATATGGGCACCATATGGCACCAGTCCCATATGGGCACCGGTTCGAGTCCTGGCTGCTCCACTTCCGATCCAGCTCTCTGCTACGGCCTGAGAAAGCAGTGGAAGGTGGCCCAAGTCCTTGGGCCCTTCTCCCACATGTGAGACCCAGAAGAAGCTCCTGGTTTCGAATTGGCCCAGTTCTGGCCATTGTGACCATTTAGGGAGTGAACCAGCAGACAGAAGGCTTTTCTGTCTCTCCCTCTCTCTGTCTGAAACTTTCTCTCTCAAATAAATAAATAAAGTCTTTAAGAAAAAAAATAAAAGAGGAGGAGGAGAAACCAGAATGAGTGAGTGCACTCACCCCCTTTCTACCACCTGAGGACAGAGAGATGGGAACTGTCCCCGAGCTAGTCAGCGAGCCCTCATGGGGGGACCTCAACCAACTGGCACGTGGATTTGTGACTTGCCAGCTTCCAGAGCTGCAAGAAACACAGACCTGCTCTTTAAGCCACGTGTCTGTGGTGTCTCCTTAGAGCAGCGCAGGCTACCAACACACCCTGCCGGGCCGGAGTCCTCTGAGACAGCCACTCTTGGAGCAACATCTCAGCTGGACTCAGGCTGTGCTGCCAGAGCTTTGTCCATGGCTAGAGACCTACAGGCAGGATCTCCAGCAGTTTTCATGCAACTTAATATATAAACACGCGCCGGCGTCCCATACGGGCGCCAGTTCCTGTCCCGGCTGCTCCACTTCCGATCAGAGACCCAGAGGAAGCTCCTGGCTTCTGACTTCAGATCAGCCCAGCTCTGGCCATTGGCGGCCATCTAGGGAGAGAACCAGCAGATGCAAGACCTCTCTCTCTACCTCTCAAATAAATAAAATATAAAATTTTTTAAGAAGTATTTTTTTCTCCTATTTGGGATTTTATTTGCTAATTCTTTGCCTTTCCTCCTGTCTTTATATCATCCACGGATTTTTTTTTAACTTTTATTTAATTAACATAATTTCCAAAGTACAGTTTATGGATTACAATGGCTTTCCCCTCCCCATAACTTCCCTCCCACGCCCCGCTCTCTCTCCCCTCCCATTCACATCAAGATTCATTTTCAATTCTCTTTATATACAGAAGATCAGTTTAGTATATATTAAGTAAAGAAGTATTTAATAGATGGGGCCAGTGCATAGCAGGTAAAGCCACCACCTGCAGTGCGGCATCCCATATGAGTGCCAGTTCTAGTCCCGGCTGCTCCACTTCCAATCCAGCTCTCTGCTAAGGCCTGGGGAAGTAGTGGAAGATGGTCCAAATCTTTGGACCCCTAGACCCATGTGGAAGACCCAGAAGAAACTTTTGGTTTCGAATTGGCACAGCTCTGCCCATTGTGGCCATCTGGGGAGTGAACTAGCAGATCGGAGACGTCTCTCTCTCTCTCGCTCTCTCTCTCTGCTTCTCCTCTCTCTGTGTAACTCTGACTTTCCAATAAATAAATAAATGTTTAAAAAGTATTTAAGAAATCATAAACACCTTTCTGGACAAAATCTAGGGCATTAGCTTTCCAGTTCTGAATTCCTGCCTTCTCGTCACAAACCACTACAGACTCCCTCGCTGGTCAGCCACACACTTAACAGGAACCCTTGGCTTCACAGATCAAGCATGATTAATAGGCAGTCTTGGTTTTAAATGTGATGACCCTTACATGGAGATGGCTCCATATATTTTGCCTCAAATTCACTGGTCAAGAAATGTTTTGCTCAGTATTAACATGATTTTTCCAGTTTCCATCCCCAACCCGTTACACCCATCTTACAGTTCTCTCAGGGCCACCATCACAGTGCTTCTTCTGGAACAGCTTCAATCCCTGACTGATTCAGGATTCAGCCCTTGCTATACACAACACATGCACGGCCTTTGTGGATATAATGGTTGCTTGCCCAGCTCCTTCTCTAATTATCTCAGGAATATTCCATTCCAGGTCCCCTAAAACAACCACTGCTGGGAGAACACAGCAGCCCCTCCCGAGGTCAGGGGAGGGGTGAGACCAGCCCCAGCTACAGCCAAGGCAGTGAGGTAAGAAGGAAATCAGGTAATTCGGTGCTTATCTGCCCCTCCCTCCTGCCCTGTGGGCGGCAGCAGCCTGGGAGGGGTACAGGGAAGTGGACAACTCAGGCCTGCGCAGTGCATCTGAATGAGGGCTTTTATGAAGCTTAAGAGAAAGAACTCAACCCAGGCCAGTGCAAACACAAACCCCGCAAGCCTGCTAGAAAGCTCAGAGTGTGTCCCTTCCCCATCCCCGTGAGCTTCAGCCGCCCACCCCTTCTTTGTCTCCGTAAGCTCTTGTGGGGTATAATGTGATACTTTATTACCTGCATTTCCATGTCCTTAAACATTTTTTAATCCTGATTAACATGTAACAATGGCACATGTCTCTAGAGTACCACGTAACACTCCAATACATACGTGCATATCCAGTGTGCACTGATCAAATCATGGCACTCAGTATCTCCATCTCCCCATGTCACCCCTGTGTTTGGAGAGTTCAAGCTCCTCTCTTGCAGCCACTCATAAAATATGTTATAGTTTATTGTGAACTATAGCCCCCCAACACACACACACACACACACACACACAGTGCTACAGAACACCAGAACACATTCCTCTACCTAACTGTCTGGTTGTTTTCTTTTTAAAGATTTATTTTATTCATTTGAAAGGCAGAGTTATAGAGAGAGAGAGAGAGAGAAGCCAAAGCCAGGAGCCAGGAGCTTCTTCCAGATCTCTCACGTGGGTGCAGGGGCCCAAGCATTTGGGCCATCTTCTGCTGCTTTCCCATGCACATTAGCAGGGAGCTGGATCAGAAGTGGAGCAGCAGAGGCTCGAACCAGTGCCCATATAGATGCTGATGCTGCAGGTAATGGCTTAACTCCCTGCGCCACAACGCCAGCCCCTAACTGTGTTTTGGAACCTTCTATCCAACCTCCCTCTTTTGTGCAACCCCCTTCGTGCAGCCTCTAGTAATCACATGCTACATTTAGATCTTTGAAAACCTTGGGGTTGGGCTTTGTTAATCTTTTCAGTTTCCACATATGAGGGACAACATGTACCATGTGTCTTTCAGCAGCTGACTTACACCCATTCTTTATAAAGGCAGAGGATTCCACGTTAAGAGACTAAAAGAGTTTCATAGTTATGAAATGCAGCGTTCATCTCAGATACCGGGCAAACAAATGTTCAAACATCCACGTTGCATGTGAAGAAGAAAAATGCAGCCTTCAAAGAGAGCTTCTAGGACGTCACCCCCGGGACAGGCACGTGGCACAGCATTCGAGTCCCACTCAGGGGCCTGCCTTCCCTATCAGAGTGCCTGATTCAGACAGCCACTCCGCTTCCCGTCCAGCTTCCTGCTGAGGTGCACCCTGGGAGGCGGCAGATGATGGCTCAAGTACTCGGGTCACTGCCACCCACATAGGAGAGCTGGATTGAGATCCTGGCTCCTGACTTTGGTCTGGCCCAACTCTGGCTCTTGCTCGGCCTTTAGGGAATGAACCAGTAGACGGAAGAGTTCTATCCCTCTGCCTTTCCAATATGATGAAAACAAATTTTAAAAAATGTTTTTAAAAAAGCATACCTTATTCCATTCACTTGTGATTCGTAATATGATGCAGTAATCATGCCCTGTTTTCAAAGGTGCATTGTAGTATTTCCCATAGTACAGCCTGTCTCCCATAGACAGCTCCACAACGGCATCATCTGGAACATCTTGGGCCGGTATTTCTGCAGCCACGTACCCATTAGCATCAGAGCCATTGCTAAAGAATGAGGCAGCCCCCTCGGAATCACAAGAAAATGTGCTTTGCAGGGCCAGGGGAAGCACCAACACCTGATATGAACTGGAATAAAAAGGAAAAGTACCTGTCAGGCTTCGGTGGAAGGATTCTCTCATTCACTTATTCATACCTACTGAACGCTTGTTATGAGATAAGCACTTTTCTGTTTAAAAGATTTATTTATTTATTTGAGAGGTAGAGTCACAGAGAGAGGGAGAGACAGAGAGAGAGGTCTTCCATCCTGTGGTTCACTCCCTAAATGGTTGCAATGGCCGGAGCTGCACCAATCTGAAGCCAGGAGCCAAGAGCTTCTTCCAGGTCTCCCACACAGGTGCAATGGCCCAACCACTGGGACCATCTTCCACTGCTTTCCCAGACCATTAGCAGAGAGCTGGATCAGAAGTGGAGCAGCTGGGATTCGAACCGGTGCCCATATGGTATGCTGGCCCCACAGGCAGCAAGCTTTACCTGCTCCACCACAGTGCTGGCCATGAGACGAGCACTTTTTTAGGCACTGGGAACACAACACTAGATAAGAAAAAGTCCTGACTGTGAAATCCACCAGTCTGACAGCTTGGGTAGCCAGGGAGCTCCAGTTTCAACCTATGGTGTTAATGCAGAGGACACTGAGCGAGGGGCCTCTCCAAGTTCTAGCTACCAAAGACACCAAATACACCCTCTTTAGCTGGGAAAAGCTGCTGCATGTAGCCCTGCCCTGTGAGAATGTCATCAGGCTGATCTAATCAGCGATTTTCACGTGGGTAAATAAAGCCTGGTGATGGAAAGGATTTAGCAATCACACGGAGGCCAGCTGCCTGTACGAGTTAACGTGCTAAGTCTGAAGAAAGATTCCCGACGATCATGCGGCAACCGAAGGAGAGCTCATGTGATTTACATTGCCTGCGGTCCACAGTCTGAAACCAAAGTTCATGTGAAATAAGGAGAAGCCAGGAGTGCAAAGTTGCCAGGAGTTAACCCGGTCTGACTATATTCCCAAAGCCAGCAGAGAGGCAAAATGCCCCATGTCCATGGGGAAGCTGTCCCCTGAAAGTGGCCAGGGAAACACGCTAGCAGCCAGGTGGGATTTTGTCCTGTGTTTTATTATGTATCCCACCAGATAAGAACCCTGTCAGTGAAAGGTAGTACAGGAATTTTAATGCAGTGAGAGTGACTCATGCCTTTCCTTGCACTCCTGCTATTCAGTCCTTATCTCCCACCGCTAGTACAGTAAACGTCTGAATGCCTGCTCTCTCTGCCACACTGGCTAGCAGGGATTTGAATGCCTTACGCTTGTATCCTTACAAGTCCTTGCCCGGTTCTACAGCTGTGGCCGATTCTCCTGCTAATGCTTCTTGAGTTGAAATGTCAGTACAGAGGAAAAGTATGCATCGGCACTGGATATGATCAGGCTGATTTCCAAAACACATTAAGCCATATAATTCTTTTTTTATTATTATTAAAGAGTTACTTATTTATTTGAAAGACAGTTACAGAGTCAGAGAGGGAGATACAGAGAGAAATCTTCCATCCACTGGTTCACTCCCCAAATGGCTGCAATGGCCAGAGCTGGGTCAGACCAAAGCCAGGAGCCAGGAGCTGCTTCTGGGTCTTCCACGTGGGTAGCAGGGGCCCAAGGACTTGGACCATCTTCTGTTGCTTTCCAACAACAGCAGGATGTTGGATTGGAAGCGGAGCAGCCAGGACTTGAACCGGCACCCATACAGGATGTTGGCATTGCAGGCTGAGGCTTTGCCTGCTATGCCACAACACCAGTCCCTAGGCTACATAATTATAATATAGTAGTAAATCTACACCTCCAGCTCCACATTCCTGAGGCTGCATCTCCTGTTCCCTAAAACTTCCTGAGTCCCTGGGGTGAGAAGAGGGAGCCCCCAGCCTCAACAGGCACTGAATTGGGAAAGTCTCTACCACCCACTGGCTTCCCAAATGCCCCGCAGTCTGTCCTCACAGGGCCCTGAGATCCACAAAGCGAGCTCACTTTCAGCAAAGGACTTTCTACAAGAGACAAGGTCAAACCTGAAGGGTAGTGGGCTGTGGCCATCATCGTCAGTAAGGTTTACTGTACAACCATCACCTCCAGGGAACAGCTACCCCAACAAATCTGCCAGGGGTTGACGATGTCCCTAGGAACCGTAACTTCAGGTAAGAAAGTCACTCTTGCTGCAGCTCCATGTGGTCCACAAGCACGTCCTCCCATGTAGCAGATGAAATCAAGTACAAGTTCAAAGCTCGGCTGCACCCATTCGGCTCTGTACGTTACCCATGGAGTCTCGGATTTTTTTTAAATTGCTGATAACATGCACACCCCAGGTGATTCCTATAAGCAGGCAAGTGTGTGAGACACCAGCATGTAAGAGAGCCCAGAAACAGGCTGCCTCGTCTGCCTAAGATCAGGGAGAATTGGGCCCGGGGCCCTGGCTCCGCCTGCCCTAAGCTGCTGCCCCCAAACAATGCACAAGGCAGGCCCGGGCCTGGCAAAGCTGCTCCCACGAGCTCAAAGCAAATGGTCAGGCTGCAGAAAGCAGTGCACTGGCGTGGCTGGCGTCAGGGAAGGAGCCGCAGCTTTGGCGGGCTTCTCCTCTCTCTCGCCGCTGTCCTCCTAGGAATGACTCACAGAGCTCCACTTCCTGTTTTGCAGTCACAGGCCGGCACTCGGCCACAAGGGCAGACTGTCACCTGGCTTTTCCCTCTGCCTTACGTAATCATTTGGTTTAAATAGCACTTCTGCTCTTGGATGTGCTCTCAGCCTGTGATGTCACAGCCTCTGTTCTCAGCACTGCAAAGTCTTCCAGTACCCCAGCAGGCATCAAGACACAGCCTGGGGAGGCAACAGCCATCCCTGGACCTATGGCAACTGCTGGGCTTCGCTATCCAGGCAGGAAAACCCGAAGTTCCCTTGGGATGGACACACAGACAGTCCCTCGAGACGTTCTTTTTCCTAACTCTGAAATATCTCACATTCATGTTTACTTGGATTGCATAAAAGAGGAAGAGAGGGCATGGGCATTTGGTGCAGTGGTTTGAGACACTGCTTGGGACACCGGGTTCAAGTTCAGGCACCCCTCCTGATTCCTGCTAATGCACACACCGGGAAGCAGTATGAGATGGCATAAGTACTTGGGTCCCTGCCACCCACGTGGGAGATCTGGATTGAGTTCCCACTCCCGGCTTCTACCTGACACAGTTCCAGGTGTTGCAGGCGTTGGGGGCACGAAGCAGCAGCTGGAAGTGCTTGTTCTCTCTCTCTCTCTCTCTCTCTCTCTCTCTGACTTTCAAATAAATAGAATACAAGTATTTTGAAAAGAGAGAGAACTGCATAAGGTCACGCATGCTGTCTCCTTGACCTTGTGAGCATGTTGCTCCTCTCTCCCCGGGCTGACTTCAATCTTCCTCTTTAAAACAGGGACCTATTCTACCTTCCCAATTCTGCCATGACCTTTGCAAGTAAATTCTTAACTGAACACAGGGTAGGCCTCCAATTGAGGTAAATGAATTCCATCCTAATACCATCTGGAATCCCAGAAATGATCACTAACTACATGGTGTCTCGCCCTTAACACAGTACACAAGTGGATACAAGGGATTACCCACAACGAGCCTTTCAACCACTACACACACCCCTGCGTCAGCCTCAGGTAGAGGGAAACATCTATGTGAAACGATGCTCCTGGCCCACCACCACCAATGGACGTGCTGTGGGGTGAGAGCTGACGGTGTAAGGTGGGCGGGCAGGTGTTAGGACAGGCGGGTTAAGCTGCCACGTGGGATTGCCACGTCTCATATCACAGAGCCAGGTCAAGTCCCAGCTCCTCTGCTTCAATCCAGCTTCCTGCTGCTGCAGCCTGGGAGGCAGCAGGTGATGGCTCACGTACCTGGGCCCCTGCCTCCTACATGGGAGACCCAGATGGAGTTCCAGGCTCCTGGCTTTGGCCTGGTTCAGCCCTGGCTGTTGTGGCTATTTGGGGGTGAACCAGCAGTGGAAAGATTTCTGTCTCCTCTCTCTCTCTCTCTCTGCCTTTCAAGTAGATGAAAATAAATGTTTTTAAACATAAAAAAATATAACATGGTGAAACTGTTAGGCAAGCACTACACAGAACAGTCCAGAAGGCACATACTGATTGAAGAAACCAGATGACAATGGATCTTTAAAACTACAAGAGCAAAACTATATGGGAACAGAGCAAACGTGGCATGGGACAAGCAAGGTACTGCCTGTGAAAGACGATGCCTCACATGTAACAGGCACTCAATCAACAGTTGTCCAACGACCAAAGGAGTGGATTTCATTTCTTGAGCTACGCTGCCCACATGCTTGTGCCTGGTCCCTTAGAAGTCTCTCTATTCATTCAGCAGGCTGCTGGTTGGGATGAAAGGCCCTGTCTGTGCTCAAGGTCACAAAAGAGAAGGCCCTGCTGCCTCGGCCCAAGTAATCGAGCCCAGTCACCCACACCGAAGTCTCCCCTTCGCCAGAACAAAAGTTTCCAGAACACTCCGTGGGGATCGGAAGACAGCCATGGGAAAGATACAGCCACTGACCTGATAGGACCATTCATCTCCTTGACTCTCTTCAACGCGAGGCGTGGCGGAGGCCCTCCATGTACTGTAAAAAATTCTACTTCCGGAAGAGGAGGCTCTGAAAACATGTGGAAAAGAAGAAAAGAAAGAGTATAATCAGAACAAGTAAAATGGATGAAGAACCCAGCCCTCCTGCAAGCCATAAAAGGGACAGTTGTAACTTAAGAAGTGTTATGGATATTCTGACGTGTGCTACATCATGCAGGCACCCCTGAACACATCATGCTAAGTGAGGGAAATCAGCCAGACACAAAAGGACAGACACAGCGGGATCTGCAAAATGCCATGGAAAAATGGAATTAAAAGATGAGTTTATTTCAGAGCAGAAACTTTGAAACCCACGCATAGCTCTTCCATAATACTCATTTTCAATGAACTTTTTGAAGATTGCTCCTAGTATATGATCCCTCCAAAATGAAATATCTAGCGTAGGTGAATTCAGAGGTGGAAGTGGATCAGAGGTTGCCAGGGGTTGAAGCAGTGGCTGGAAAATGGAGAAATACTGCTTAATGGTCACAAAGGATCTGTTTGAGGTGATGAACCTGTTTGGGAACTAGATGGTGATGACAGCTGCACACATTGTGAACATGTTTAATGCCAATGGATTACAAACTTCAGAACGGCTTGGCCGGCACTTTTTGTTATTTTACCCAAATTAAAGGGGGTGATGAGGCCGGCGCCGCGGCTCACTAGGCTAATCCTCCACCTTGCGGCGCTGGCACACCGGGTTCTAGTCCCGGTCGGGGCGCCGGATTCTGTCCCGGTTTCCCTCTTCCAGGCCAGCTCTCTGCTGTGGCCAGGGAGTGCAGTGGAGGATGGCCCAAGTCCTTGGGCCCTGCACCCCATGGGAGACCAGGAAAAGCACCTGGCTCCTGGCTCCTGGCTCCTGGCTCCTGGCTCCTGCCATCGGATCAGCACGGTGCGCCGGCCGCAGCGCGCCGGCCACGGCGGCCATTGGAGGGTGAACCAACAGCAAAGGAAGACCTTTCTCTCTCTCTCTCTCTCTCTCTCTCTCTCACTGTCCACTCTGCCTGTCAAAAAAAAAAAGGGGGGGGGGTGATGAGCAGTAGCAGAGACTGAGCAGCGTGGGCTTCACAGCCTGCTTAGCAGGTGGGGTCCCATTTGGACTTCGTATCTTTATAATCGTGGACCTCTCTGTCCCTACTTTGCCTTCCCCAGTGACACCATTTCCCACGTAGTCTTCCACTGGAGGAAAAAAGATCCAGACGGGCTGACATGAGTGTTCCAAGATGTTACCAGTCACCACATGCACGGTGTTGATATGCCAGCTGCCACTGTGCCTCGTGGGAAACGCAGCCAAGATGTTCCGGGCACTCAGCACATACCCTGGATGTGGCCTGTAGGTGCCTCATATCACTTATGGCCCACGATGGTGCTACCAAGTGGATGACATTTATGGAAGCTATTACTTTCTCCCTCTCCTGGCATTCATCCCTTGGCTCACGCAACAGGAACTTCTTCCTGCTCCGGATATTAGGAGAAGCACGTCTGTCTGTCCTTCCATCCACGCGCTGTGAGACAGCTAGAGTTCCACTCGTGTTCGCAGGGGGCCCTACCCCTTTATACTCTTTTATTTTTCTTTTGTTTTATTCCCATCTTCCATGCAGGAGGCAAACCTAAGTCACAGCAATTGTGAAGCCAGGTCTACATTTGTCCTATAGATTTAAATTCCTCCCCCACCCTGGGTGGAAGGAAGATCCAGGAAGTTTTATTTCGGCCTCAGATCCAAACCAGTTTCACCAGCAACAGAACTGGTCATCTGATCCTTATCTGATGCTGGCGCGTATTTTCCCATGTTCCTACACTCAGACGGGGAGCAAGTATGACTGTTCTCTCAGAAAACCTCACGCTACAGACAAGGAAGCGAATGCGTGGAGAGATTTAGTAATCCGTCCAGGAGTACACGGTTAGCACGAAGCAGAGCCAGGGTCTGAACCCAGTTCAGCTGCAGGGTTCCCTTGCTCACTCTGGGATCTCTTAAATGTTTGGCTCCACCGGACTGATACAGCAGGTTCTCACTTTTTTTTTTTTTTTTTTTAAGATTTTATTTATCTGAGAGTTAGAGTTACAGACAGTGAGAGAAAGAGACAGTGAGAAAGGTCTTCCATCCACTGACTCACTCCCCAAATGGCCGCAATGGCTGCACCAATCCAAAGCCAGGAGCCAGGAGCTCTTCTGGGTCTCCCACACAGGTGCCAGGGCCCAAGCATCTGGGCCATCTTCTACTGCTTTCCCAGGCCACAGCAGAGAGCTGGATCGGAAGCGGAGCAGCTGAGACTCGAACTGGTGCCCACATGGAATGCTGGCACTGCAGGCAGAGGATTAACCTACTGAGCCACAGTGCCAGCCCCTCTCATCACTTTTGAGTGAACTAATAAAATCTAGTTTAAAATACTGAGTCTGCAGTGACTCTACAAATGTATCAACTCTGGAAAAAAAGAACCCATCTGCCACAATTACAGTGGTGTCACAGGTCTGCCCGGTATAGCATCAAAGAAGACAGAGTTAACATAGAAAATAATCACTCCTGGGGCTGGTGTTGTGGTTCAGCCAGTTAAACTGCCACCTGTGATGTCAACATCCCATATCATAGTGCCAGTTCAAATCCTGGCTGCTCCACTTCCAATCCAGCTCCTGGCTAATGTGCCTGGGAAGGCAGCAGAGAATGGCCCAACTACTTGGGCCCCTGCACCCATGTAGGAGACCAGGATGAAGCAGGCTTCTGGCTTAGGCCTGGCCCAGCCCTGGCTGTTGCAGCCATCTGGAGAGTGAACAAGCAGATGGACAATCTCTCTCTGTCGCTCCCTCTGTCTCTGTGATTCTGCCTTTCAAAAAAATAAAATAAATATTTGAAAGTCAGAGTTACACAGAGAGAGAAGGAGAGGCAGAGAGAGAGAGAGAGAGGTCTTCCATCCACTGGTTCCCTCCCCCAGTTGGCCGCAATGGCCGGAGCTGCACCAATCTGAAGCAATGGCCAGAGCTGCACCAATCTGAAGCCAGGAGCTTTTTCCAGGTCTCCCATGTGACTGCAGGGGCCCAAGGACTTGGGCCATCTTTCACTGCTTTCCCAGGCCACAGCAGAGAGCTGGATCAGAAGTGGTGCAGCCGGGACTCAAACCAGCACCCATACAAGATGCTGGCACTGCAGGCGGTGGCTCTACCCACTATGCCACAGCACTGGCCCCAATAAAATAAATCTAAAAAAAAAAAAGAACAAAGGATCGCTATCATGCTGTGGGAAGACTCTAGGTTCATATCCTGGTTCTACCATTTCTGCCTCCAGCTGCCTCATCTGTAAGACAGAGGTAAAAGTCATCCCACCTTAAAGGTCTGTTCAGAAAATGAATGTGTCTATTGATAATGATGGACAACAATCGCTAATGAGCCAACACGAGTAGAGAGAATAGAAAGTGTCTGGAAGACATCAGCCCTCGGTGCACGCTGGCTGCTTTTACAATATCGCTTGAGCTACACCCACTGGGGACCAATGCCACGCTAGGAGCTTTGCTGTTTCATCAAGTCCTCCCAGAAGTTCTGTGATGGTCAGTTCTGTCTGATCTACGAAGGCAGGCAGGTTAAGACACACCGCTTGATGCGGCTGAGCTACGGTGAGACCCAGATTAACTGGATCCCAAAGTCAACCTTGTCACCGTGTCATACCAGGACAATGCTTGTTTTTGCTTGGCCTGAGACTTGAGATGGTCTAAAAGTAGGAACAGCTGGCTCCTGGGCCCAAGACCAGAGGAGGGGAGGCTGGGAGTCTGGAGCAGCCGAACCTCACGGGTCTCTCAGTGAGCAGGTGTTCGGCGGGAAGGGATAGGTGGGAAAGAGAACTTGGAGCTGGCCCCCGGAAGGGCGACCCTGGGGACGGGGTCGGCGCCTGCCCACCTTTCACAAAGAAGAAACGTCACCTACAGGACTGTGAATGAGCCAGGGGCCATCACATCGCAAGGGGCTCCCCATGGGGCAAGGAGTGGCATCAGAGGCCACAAGTGGAAGCGGCGTCCCTGCATGAGGGCTAGAGGAGGGTTCTGCTGAATGAACTGGGGGTTGAAGGAAAATAAGCCTGGGAGAGACTGAGGAACCGTAAACCTGTGGTTGCAAAGCGCCCCAGAGTCTCGGAGCCCGCACGTCTCCTTTTTATACACACTTGATACATGTTAGCTGTATGTGGCGAGCAGCCCCTCTCCTTCCCAGGCAGTTCCTTTGGGGCCGTCATCCACCGCAGTGCAAACCCCTCTGGCCCAAGCCCCCCTCCCAGCATCATCACAGCACTGGTTGAGAAGTCCACTGAATGCTGGGAGCTTTGAGGGCTTGGGTGTTCCTTGGGGGCTGGTTGTAGCTGTGAGTACCGGGTGAGGCAGGTCTGCCGACAGAGGGCAGCGTTGCTGAGCCATGCAGCCGGGCTCCACGGGCACCACTGTGGCTGATCTTGCTGGTTCTGAGTGACACCCATCCCTGGACTTCCCAGTGCTGTGAGCCAACAGATTCCTACGCTTTGGTGGCCTGGACCTGGGCTCCTGGCCCGTGCAACCTGAGGAACCCTGGCTGATCAGAGAGCTCATCCAGCTCCCCGGTGCTCTGCCCAGGGCAGGACACACAGCTCGGTACTGGGGGGAACTCTGGCACCAGACTCAGGGGGAGCAGCTCTGCCTGTGTGGGAGAGGAACTGCCCTAAATCTCAGGTGGTGGCGCAGTGAGGACAGCAGGAAGAGCCACCTAAATGAGACCCTGGCCCGAGCCATCCCTCCTGCTAGGTCCACCTCTGGCTCAGCTCAGCAGGGAGCGCAGAGACTGGGAGACAGAGGAAAAGAAAAGAGAGAAGGGGAAAAACGCGAATGCTTCCCTGCTAACCCCCAGCCTCAAACCCTGCCCCAGTGAAACTAAGGGCTAGGAAGCCAACACCCACCCTCAGGATTCTACTTACCACACTGGGAGATATCTCGGGGTGGAAGCCCTCAACCCCAAATTATAACAGACACTTAAGACTTCCTGGGCCTTTACAATCTTTAAAGCCCAATCAAATGGTTATTTATA